AAAAAAAGTGAAAATGTAGCCCCGCCCACCCACCCTATCTCGATTGTGATGATTGTTTTTAATCGTCGTTAGCCATTTTAAACGTGTTTTAGGTTTCTAAGAGTAAAAAAAATTATCACAATCGAGAAGGGGTGGGTGGGCGGGATTTATATTTTGCCAGTTTTTCTTAATATACTTAGTATTCTTTGAGCAACACACAAAAACATGTTTTTAATTTCGCGTAGAGAAATAAGGATTTAGCAGTTAAGTTCCAGACCTTCTTGGCTCACGACGAATAAAAAAAATAATCACAATCGAGGTAGGGTGGGTGGGCGGAGCTACATTTTGACTTTTTTTTTCTCAATATGTATAGACTTATTTCGACAACAGAAAATTTAAAACATGATTAAAATGTTATATTTTTGCAAGGAAATATGGATTTTGCAATTATTAAGTGGTGAATAATTGCAAAATCGACATTTCCTTAGACAAATTTTCCACTGCAAACATGGTTTTAGATCCATGTTGTGAAAAGAAGTCTACACATATTAAAACAAAAAGGCAAAATATAAACCCCGCCCACCCACCCCTTCTCGATTGTGATGATTTTTTTTATGCACCGTGAGCCAAGGGGGCGAAGCTTAAGTGCAAAATACTTATTTCTGTACAAAAAATTAAAAACATGTTTTTGAGTATCGTGTTTTCAAAGAATTACTATGAACACTAAGAAAAAAAGGCAAAATATAAACCCCGCCCACCCACCCCTTCTCGATTGTGATGATTTTTTTTATGCACCGTGAACCAAGGGGGCGAAGCTTAACTGCAAAATACTTATTTCTGTACAAGAAATTAAAAACATGTTTTTGAGTATCGTGTTTTCAAAGAATTACTATGAATATTAAGAAAAAATGGCAAAATATAAAACCCGCCCACCCACCCCTTCTCGATTGTGATTTTTTTTTTATTCACCGTGAACCAAGGGGGCGAAGCTTAACTGCAATATACTTATTTCATTGCAAGGAATTAAAAATATATTTTTGAGTCTAGGGTTGTTAAAAAAATACCACGTATGTTAAGAAAAAAAAGGCAAAATATAAACCCCGCCCACCCACCCCACCTCATTTGTGAAGAGTTTTTTATTCTTAGAAACTTAAAACACATTTAAAGTGGCACATTTTTGTAAGAAAATATGGATTTTGCAGTTAGGCCCCGCCTCTAAGTCTGCCAACGAATGAAAACTTCATTACTATGTAGATTAGGCCAGATATGGGTGGGGCTTAATTTTTGGCTTTAATTTTTTCTTAATACCTATATGTACATAGGATTCTTGGAATAACACGATGGTCCAAAACATGTCTCAGACGGTAATTTCTTGTAGAGAAATAATAAAGATTTTGCAATTAAATTTCGCCCGATTGGCTCTCGACGATTAAAAAAAATCATCACAATTGAGATAGGGTGGGTGGGCGGGGTTTAAATTTTGCCTGTTTTCTTAATTTACGTAGTCGTCTTTTCAGAACAAGAAACTTAAAACATGTTTAAAATGGTAAATTCTTCTAGACAAATATAGAGTCTGCAATTAAGCCCCGCCCATCGATCTGACAACGAATGAAAAATTCATCACAATTGAGAATTAAGATCGGGGCGGGTATAGGTGACCTAATCTTTGGCATTATTTTTGTCTTAATATACCATACATACATAGTATTCTTTGAACAATACGATACTCAAAAATATGTTTTTAATTTCTCGTAGAGAAAAAAGGTTTTTGCAGTTAAGCTCCACCCTCTTGGCTCACGACGAATAAAAAAAATCATCACAATCGAGATAGGGTGGGCGGGCGGGGCTACATCTTTCCTTGTGTTCTTAATATCTGTAGACTTATTTCGGCAACAAGAAACTTAAAACATGTCTAAAATGGTAAATTTTTGTAGTAATCAACTTTTCTTCTACAACCCCTTTGAATCCGGCAAAAGTTGATCATCAAAGTTACTATCAACGGCAACTTGGCAAATAAGTTTATAAATTTTTGAGTTGAATATGAAATTTCCGTCAGTTCTTTAACATAAAATCTGTCATTAAAACCGAAAGTTCTGCGTCCTCCCCCTGCGTGCACTACCGTCCAATTTGTATCTAGATTTCCAAATTTGATAGGACGAGGATGATCGCTCGGGTCGAGAGTAACTCGATATATTTTCGAGCATCCCAGTAATCACCGGTTCCATTCCATTGTGCTTTTTTTGCCTAGACGATGACAATAGCTGTCGATAGATGCCTGCTAATAGTTTAAATAGCGTGCTGCTATAATAATCGCGATTTACAGGTCGTTACCTCGGCTTTTTTACCCAAAAGGAGCAGAAAACTCGGCAGGACTTCCCATAGTGTACTGACATAATAGTCTTTTGATTGTTGTTCATTTCTATGTCTTTTGTGTCGCTCGGGAGGATGTAACACGAGTCGGTCTTCCTTTCCCCTATTCACGTTTTCGGGTATTTAGGTGAAAGAATTTGGCGAATTTTCGGGGGTTTAATTATGAACTAGGTGAGTTTTACTTTTAATTACAACACTTTTGAGATCCGTCGGGGATCGGTGTAATCATTCTTGTGATTTAATTTAGCCCCTGTAGACTCTATTATGTGCCATTATTGGATAGACACTTCCCCTGCTCGTGCTAACAACCCTCGAGTACAGGGGAGGCACTGGGACAGTTTATTTATTTCGGAGGGGTTTTGTTCGTTGAGGGTAGTGTTTTAGTGTTAATTATCTATTTACGAGGATGTTTTTATGAGTTTAAATTAAACATTTTTTAAGAGTTTTTCAGAATTCAAGTACTTGTCTACGATTATATTTCAAACAAAAATACATATGGTGGACTCATCAAAAAACCCATTAAATCAACCCATCAAGATCTGGATTTAAATTATAAGTTACGGTTGCGTGCATATAAAACTTGCAACTGACCTTAAATTTAGAAAAAGTTAATTATAGCACCGCAAGGATTTTCAATAAACCAAGATCTCATAAAACTGTTAGAGCTATTTGAGCGAAAATAATCAAATTAAAAATTTAATACTGGACATTTGAAAAGTGGCACTAAATTTTTTCGGATTTTTTGGAAATAGTGCCAACAATTCATAATTGAAATTTAAAATGTAGTTTCGAATATAATTTTGCACAAAGACACAAATTTGTTGGCACGTTGTTGAATTTTAGTAAGAAGAGGCATTAGTTTTTGAGTTAGTTAGTTTTAGCGCTATTTTTTTTTTCCAAAAATGTTGGTGAACTTGATTCTTGAGTTGAATTTTATTGCATACAAATTTCTATTCCTGTCCTAAATCTAATACTAAAGGATGCCACTAAGTTTATAATTCCTGAAACTGAAAAACTGAACAAAAGGTTCTGAATATTATTTTAGCATTTAAAATGTGATGCTGCAATTTTTTTTTACGAAAATCAAGATGTTTAGGACAAGAAATCAAGGCGGATTCATAAACCACACGTATTATTACGTGTTTGATTCACCTTCAGTATAGTTTTTACACTTTTCAGCTTATCGTTCTTGTCAATAAATTCCTGAAGATGTCCCTTACGAAATTAGGTGAAACGTTAAATTGTGTTCAAAATTTAGTCTGGTCAAAACCGGGAAAACCTCTTTCTGTAGACTATACCAGATATTTTTTATATCTGCAGTGTGATTTATTTTTTAACTTCTGAAAACTGTACAAATTTAATATTTTTTATTTTTTAGTGTATTAAATTTATCAGAGAAATTATAAACTTCCTCTACTTATAAGTATAACAACGTATTTGCAATTCATACTAGGTGTATTTGAAAATGTGAGTTTATATAAAAAATTATTTAAATTTTTTTAGCTTTTATAGAAATATCGGCAAAATTTCGTTGAAAAAACGTTGTAATGTGGTGACGAAGATCGTTTTTCCGACGTCAAAATAAAACGCATTTTTTTACCATATTCGGGTTACAAGTTACAATCGTCCTTACAGTTCAGCCTAAGACTAAAGTTTAATGATTTAATTAATTACTTAATTCTAAAAAAACTTTGTTTCAACGTTTTAATTAACGTTATTTCAACAATGATTATGTTTGTTGGAATTTTACTAGTTTAAAGAACTTTTCACGTTTATAATAGGTGTATATTCGACAAAATCTTTTTGATAATTTGAGAGGCTTGGTATAACAGTGAAAAATACCCTGAAATTCCTAGATACCCTATTATTTCAGTACATATATACAATAATTCCAAAACTGTAAAACAATGAAATTATCAAAATAAAATTTTGCTATTTTCAAAGTTGTTTTTATTGAAGCTACTGTTAGAAAGCGAGTTTAAGAACCGATGTATGAAAAAATAAATTTTCTGACAACTTCTTAAATTTTTATTTTTAAATTACATATGTAAGTATTTTTGAATAACGCCTTTAATCGAGAACTTAAGGCTATTCTTTCTTATTTTTAAGGTTTCAAAAATAATTATTCCAACGATTTTGATATAATTCGAGGTTTTATTTGCATTGGTTAGTGATGTGATTAATCAACATTTTATTTGTACTTAATAGATAATATTGGGAATTAATTATTTAAAAGAAGAAAGTGTTGAATGATTAAAAATAAAGCAAAAATTGCTTAATGGAAAATTCTAAAAATTTGGCCGGTTATACGTGAAACTATTTTTTTAACGGGGCGCTGGCCGAGTTAAAAAATCATTCGGAGCGCTACAGATATTTTATAAAGTTTATTTGGAATTCTGTAATACCAAAATTTCTGATACAAACCGATATTTCCAATTAATTTTTTTGAGATAAATTATTGAGAGATTTATGGCATACAATTTTGAAATTATACCAAAAAAAAATCATCAAAATAAATAAATAAATTTGTTGAACATGACGCAAATCTCGATAAAATAAAGCATGTACACAATACTAAAAAAAAAAATAAAAAAAATAAACACTTGTTATTTTTTATCGTCGCGTTAAATCCAAAATCAAAAATCCCTTACCTCATCATACGAGGGCAGCGGCGTGTAGTCGGAATACGTCGAAATATTGAACAACATCGGCCCCAACCAATCAAAAATCAGCAAAAAATCCGTCGTACCATAACACCAATTAATCCGGAAAAATCGCGCATCGACAACGCACTCCGAAAAAAGCACAGGTAACGCGATACCTCCCTGCGGAGCCCCGTCCAATTTAAAAGTCAAATAAATACATCCACACTCTTATTAGCGGCTTTAAGTGAACAATTAAATTACAAGCTTTGACGATATAGCTTACAATTTACGGGCACTTGCCGGCGACGACAGCGCCACTGCTTCCAGCGAAAGGACGGCCAACTAAGAAGGGGCGATGGAGGGGAGGGTGGCCCTAGACGGGGCGGGTGGGGCGACGAGGAGATCGTGAACACCCCGGCGGCCGGGCCACGCCCACGGGGCGGGGCTAGATTTGGGGGTCCTCGGCGCGATGACGAGAACGAAGAAATTGGGTGAGAGGTGCTGGAGGATTATTGCTTTTTTTAAGAAGGAAGAGATTTGGATTAGCGTTGAGGATTTAATAAAAAATGGGAAATGGGGGCTGGAGGTGACGGGTTTGGGGTGCGAAGGTGACGGCTTGGGGCAATCGATCGGGGAGGGGGGTGAAAGGCGCTACGTTGCGATATTCATCTTTGAGGGAAAGTTGGTTTTAATTATCATTTTTACAAGATCTGATCATGCTTTTAAATAGTATCTAGTACATTTTTTAAACTCAGATTGTTTTAAATGCAATTGCAAATACGTAATTGTTAAGATTTCTGAAGAACCAAATTTTAGTTTATTTTTTAATAGATGTGTAGTTCGAAAAATTTCAATGTTAATGTTATCTACAAAGAATGAAATGGATTATTTTGTACTTTTTTTTTTAATGTGGTTTAAGTTTAAAAATAGCACCAGTATCTCAAGGATAGTACGAGTTTATGTTACGACCACACGTGGGTTTAAATTATCTTGTTTAAATAAATAATTTAATCTAAAAATTAAAAAAAATGCAAAAACTGGTCGTTGCTATGGTCTGCTCTAAGTCACTTTTTTCTGATTCTAGGTATCTATATTACTTTAAACACATATACGGTGTTGGAACAAAGAAAAACTATACAGAAAATTAAATTACTTATTTGTTGTAATTTTTTTTTGGCTTTTTTAGCTAATATAAACCTTTAAACTGTAAATTAATAGTAATTATTCAAATAAAAACTGACTTGCAGTTGGATGTGATATCGGGACAACATATAATGTATAAATTGATTCAGTTGCTATTTTTTGAAACCAGTTTCGGCTACTTTGATTAAAAAATTTCGAAATGTTAACTAAAATGTTTTTATTTACATATTTTGCCAAAAAAGTAAAAAATAATCTACTACAAAAAATAATTACGTCATCTTAGTATTAATCGCGTCAAGGGGCTTCAGTTTTTAGTGTTTACAGAAATCATAATGGGGATTTTTAGAAACGTATTTATAGATTAACATTTCGACGATAGAAAAATTTGCTTATTTTTCTGATTGAATAGATAGTAATGTCAAAATTATGTAAACTTGTGAAATATTTGAATTACATGCAAGCGAAATACTTTTGTTTATTATGCAACCAACAATACACGACTTTGTCACGTGTGTTGAATGAACCAATGAGAAGCGTGCATTTCACACAGGAGGGGTTTTGAAGGGGCGAAATTAACACAACTGGTTTTCGTTTTTATTCTATTAATTCATCCATTCTCTAGAAAAATATCTGACCAATCACAGTCATCTTGGACCTTATTTTTAAAATATTTCCCTTCGCTGCTATAATCATACAAAAAATCGGCTCCTCTATCCATAGCACCATCAGGTTTAAGGTCCAAATACACGTCCCCTCTATTCGCATAATCTAAATCTAAAATTCTGGTTTGTTCGAACTCATCATTATCAAATAACTGAGGTACAACCCCAAATTTCTCCTTGATAAATAAAATAACATCCCCAAAATTTTGTAAATTATTAAAAATTCGTTTCTCTTGTTTGGAGAGAATTTTCTCCAACATAAATACTAAATGGTGGTGAAAACACTGGAATGTTAAGTTTGACGGTTTTTCTTGTATTGTGGGGGTTTTGTAGATGTCTTTGGAATCAAGGGTGGTATTGTAGCAAATGTTGAGCCACCTTTGAATACAGTCGGTGGTTGTGGTGGCGGTACCCGTGAATAGCGTGGGGTTGGTGAGAAGCCCGTTGGCGACCATCACCCCTAACAACAATTTATTAGCAAACAACCCTTATTTCAATTTTGTGTTATTTTGTACCCACCTTTACACTTTGTTATTTCCTGTAAATCCACACACTCTTTTAACGATTTCACCCCTCCATTCGCCACCACTGGAATCTGGACACTGTCCACAATCTGAGCTAGAGCTTGTGTGTTCACATCACCTGTTAACTGATCAGGAGTCCGACCATGCATTGCTAAAAAACTAACCCCACATTTCTCCAACTGTTGGCAAACTTCGACGCTCTTCCTGCTCACAATTAACAAAATTACTATTACATGATTATTGATAAAACCCTATAAAATTATACCGTAGCTCCTTCTTCAGCCTCATCTTTACACTAACAGTAAATGGTTTAGCCACCGAATTTCTACACTGGCGCACCAAATCATAAATTAACTCGGGTTTTTCCAACATAATGCACCCCAGTCCTTGCTGTTTGGCCCACCTCTGTGGACACCCACAGTTCAAATCCACCCCATTACAAAACCTGTAAGTTTTCATGAGTGACATAACCTCAATCTTTTTTTAATACTAACGGAGATACCAAGTACGCCGCCCCCACGAAATCGTGCACCGTGTTGGCCGCAAACTGCGCTATCAGGGGTAGATCGTCTAAAATAATTATTTCAATTCGGAATTTAGGTTATGTTTGTCAATTTTTTCGTACTCAAATTCGTCGTGAATTCGTTGTTCCTTGCTTTGTGGCTCTTGCAAAACGAGTCTGCGAGAATCATGGGGGTGTAGCAAAGGTCGCACTTGTACGATTTAACCAGATTTCTGAACTGGAGTCTTAAAAAAAAATAAAAAGGGTTACTGGGGGATTGGGGTGGTGCGGATTTTTACTTGCTGTAGCGCACCATGGGGGCACAAATTTTAACAATTTCTTGGGTTTGGAACAGCTCCATGATGTTTATCGGGGGTTTTGGGGTTTCAGTCATGGTTTATTTTGAGTTGTTTGAATGCAAAAAGTGAGGTTATGTTTATACCGAGGGTGTAATTTTACGTCGACTGTGCGTAAGTCGAAAAATGGAGGTCGAAAAAATTAGGTAGAATCACTGGAAACTTGTTAGTCTAATCACATACTCCAATAAAATTATCTCTTATGTAGATAATTAGATAAATTCCAATAAAAATTGCTGTTTAACTCAATTAAAGTGAGTCGTGTTTTAGTACATTATGAAATCACTCCACGAACCAGAAAACGACATCAAATTTATTCGCACCCTTTGTCGCTACTTGGATTTTTTCCTGATTACACCATGGTACGATTTCAGCAAAAACAGCTCCTACAAACCAACCACGAAAAAGATTTATGGGTGTATTTTTCTCGCAGCCAAGGTGATGTGGTACATATATTCAATTAAAAATAATGGCCAGGTGTACCAATTTTACCACGAGTCTTTATCCTCTCAAAAAATTGGCTACGTTTTTCTTGCATCCGCCTTGATGCTTCATTGGTGCTTAACAGTGACCTTCTCAACATTTTTGAGTGTTAAACACTGGAAAATTCTTTTTACTAATTTGGAAAAGTTCGACACGAGAATTAAAAGCAGAGGGAAAGTGAAAATGTCAATCTCGAGACGTCTAATCTGCTGTACCATTATACAGCAAGTGATGTCTTTGCTTCTGTGCTTCTATGTTTTGTATTTAGTAACTGGGGTGTTAAAAGCACCCTTGTGGAGGAGTATAAGTAGCACTCTACCGATTGAAGTTTGTTATGAAACCGTTGTGATTTTCTTGATCAACGTTATTAACGACATTATCAAAAGGAGGTACAGATTGTTGAACACAAAATTGGTGGAGGTGCTACGAGGGTCCAAAGTTATACAAGAACTGGAAAATGTAGCCGAGTGTTATCAGATTTTGGGAGAAACTGCAACAAGTTTCAACAGGATATTTGGCTATCAAATGTTAATAATTGTCTTTCATTGTGGAGTGGAAGTGATTCATTGTTTAAATTTAGGATTTGTTACTAATTCTGCTAAAGAGACGGTGCCCTATTTTGCCTATGTTTGCAACATGTACGCTTTGGGGGTGGTATCAGTAAGTCCCGTTATTTATTTGAAAAATATCTCATCAATTTTTTGCAGTATAATTTTCTACTTTTGGTGCTTCCTCTGGATTCCACAACGCGAGAAGCTAAGAAATTCATGCAAATATGTTATAAAGCCCAGCGATTGTTTCACATTGACTCTAAAGAACTGAAAGCCGTAATAAACTTGACGAATTATTCAGAGCACTTCGTGCCAGAATTTTGTGCAGCTGGATTTTTTAAAATTAATAAAACACTTATTTTTAGTTTACTTGGACACGTAGCGGCTTGCTACATTATAATTATTCAGTTCAACCAAAGTCAAAATTCGCCGAACCCATAATTTTTAAAATGTTTTTGTATTAACACTACAGAATTTTCTTGTGTGTGTCAGTTTTGTTGTCAAAAAATTAGATTAGCTAATCATGTTTACATACTTAAGTACATATCACGATAAAAATATGTGTTAATGTAATGAATAACAAATAATTTTCTATAATGACAAAGTTACTTAATAATATGTTAATAAACTCAGGTCAATGATAAAATAGCGTTTGGTAGATTCTTTCTAAAACCATGAAAATTCACCGTGAACCAAAACAAGACATCCAATCCCTACGCACCCTTTGCAGTTATTTAGATTTTATTCTCGTCACACCATGGTACGATTTTAACAAAAACTCTGCTTACAAACCCACTATAAAAAAGATCTATGGGTGTTTCTTCATCGCCGCTAAATTAACGTGGTGGTTGTTTACTATAAAATATAGTATCGAGACGTACGACAAGTATAAAACTGCCCTGTTGTCTCAAAAACTAGGTTACATTTTTATTGTATCTACTCTAACGATTCAGTGCTTTCTGACGATAATCACCTCCACATTCTGTGGTATCAAACACTGGAAAACCCTCTTCACAAATGTGGAAATATTTGACTCCAGAATCAACATCAGAGAAAAAGTGAAAATGACACCTTCGAAACAGTTAATCTGTAGTTCAATTTTTCAGCAAGCGATTTCACTGGTGTTGTGTTTGTACGTTTTGTATGTGTTTGCCGTGAGGTTACGCACACCTCTTTGGAAATCTCTTTGTTTAACAATGCCTTTGGAACTTTTGTCAGAAATGTGGACATTACTCTTGATGAACGTAATTAACGATGTGATTAAACGAAGATACCAAATTTTGAACATAAAACTCGTGGAGGTGCTCAGGGGAGTTAAAGTCGTACAAGAACTGGAAAATGTGGTTGAATGTTACCAAATGTTGGCAGAAACTGTTGAAGCTTTTAACAGAATTTTTAGTTATCAAATGTTGCTTTTCATTTTTCACTCTGGAGTGCAACTGATTCATTGTTTGAATTTTGGATTTGTTAACTCTGTTACTGGAGGACCGACGTACTATTTAACGTATTTGTCTAACGTGTTTTGCTTGTTTGTAGGATCGGTATGTTTACTATTGTCGTCCTGAAATAGTTTTTTTCATCAAGTTTGTTTGTAGTACAATTTTCTGCTTTTCGTTCTTTCACTGGATTCCACTACACGTGAAGCTAGGAAATTTATAGAAATTTGCTACAAAGCTCAGCGATGGTTTAAGATTCAGTCTGAAAAAGTAACAGCTCTCATAAAGCTCACTAATTATTCAGAATATTTCATGCGGGAATTCAGCGCCTGTGATTTTTTTGTAATTAAGAAAAGTCTGATTTTCAGTTTAATCGGACATATAGCAACGTACTACATAATAGCCATTCAGTTTAATCAAAGTTAAACGTCATATTTTTTTTTCTGTGCACGTTTGGATTGTTTTTAAAATAAAAAATACTTTGTTTGATTTGTTCATCTACTTGGAAACTACAACCCATTAACTGATTAGCGTGAATGCGATTAATTTTATCTGAACAAACGCAAAAATTTCCAATTATCTGACCTATCTAGCGCAGTTCAGTTTTACGTTTGTAGGCACCAGTATGGGTTTGAAAGTTTCAGTCAAAGACATTCGTTTTATAAAACCGTTCTTTCTATACCTGAACGTGTTCCCCATAACACCATGGTACGATTTCAACACAAACTTATTTTGTCGTCCTACCATCTCAAAAATTTATGGGTGCATCTTACTCTTTGCGAAATTCCTCTGGTTTATTACTGCTCTGATGAACACCACTCTGCGTCGAACGTTTGTAGAGAGCCTCTTCTCCGTAAAAATTATTCTTGTGTTTGGGGGCATAACTTTATTGATGAGAACGATTTTGATAATTTTGAAGTCGACAACCTGGAATGTGTCCGATTGGAAGACTTTGTTGGTTAACTTTAACATTATAGACGCAAATTTACAAACTACAAAGCGAAAAGAGGCGTTCTTCAAAAAGTTCTATTTGCAGCTGGGGATAAAACATCTACTGTTTGGAATTTTTGTTGGTCATCAGTTTTACTCATGGGCGAAGTTTTTTGATTTTTCATGGTTAGAGAGTTTATGGATGAGCCCCATTGTCGAGTTCTATGAAGAATTTTTGGTGATGGTCTTAATGCATGCTCTGGTTGAGAGTATCAAAGTTAGATATAGAAAACTGAATTCTAGACTGGTTGAAGTTTGTCAAAACTTGGAAACTAATAAGATGGACCAAGAATTATCAAACCTGTCACACGTTTATCGCACTTTAGGAGACAACATTGACGCTTTCAATAGCATATTTGGGTGTCAAATTCTTGTGACTTTGTTTCATTGGGGATTGCAGATGATTCTCTGCTTGAATTACCTTTTTGTTGTAGTCGTTGGTGTCGATGATGATCTTTATCGAAACTTCATGATTGGTAACATTTGCACTCTGATTTTTATTAAGGTAAGAAAGATTTTGATTTTTTTGTTAGTGATCTGTAATGTTTTAGTGCAACTTCTTCATGATTATCTTTTCGATTGATTCGACTATTCAAGAAGAAAGGAAGTTCGTCGATTTGTGTTACAAATTTCAAGAAGAGTTGGTCGATGATTGTCAAAAAGTTGCGATTTTGAGAAGGCTCGCAAAGTTCTCGAAAAACTTCCACCGGGAATTTAATGCATCCAGATTTTTAAAAATCGACAAGACCATTATTTTTGGGTTGTTTAGCAAAGTCGCCACTTACTACATAATAACGAATCAGCTAAATGAGAGTCAGTATCAGAAATTTAGTCAAAATTTCACTGGATAGGCAAACTATGATTATTTCATTAAATTGGTAATAAAACTTAGAGACACAGACAGATTTTTTTTTATTTTCGTAGTTTCTATATACAAGTTCATGGTAATTTTATTAGCCAGAAACAAATTAACTAATTGTGTTTATAACTGTTTACACAAGACGATTAAAAACATACGTTATACATAATTTTTGTAATTACTTAATCGTTCCATTTAATTTAGTTGACTTACATCAGTGATTGGTAAAATATCAGAAGTAGGTTTCCCCCATAAGCATGAAAATTCACGGTCGCCCGGAAAAAGACATCAAATTTATAAGAACACTTAGTACCTATTTAGATTTTTTTCTTATTACACCATGGTACGATTTCAGCAAAAAAGTTCCCTTTAAACCCACAACGAAAAAGTGTTATGGATGTATTCTCGTCGCAGCAAAATTAATAACTTATGTATGTGCTGTGGAAAACAACAGCCTCATGAAAGAATATTTCAACAATACTTTAATCTCACAAAAAATTGGTTACACTTTCGTGGCCTCCACTCTAATGCTCCACTTCAGTCTAACAGTGATCTTCTCCGCATTCTTGAATGTGAACCACTGGAAAATTCTTTTCACGAATTTGGAAAATTTTGATTCTAGGATTAAAAGCAGCAGAAATGCGAAAATGTCATTTTCGAAAGCTCTAATTTACTGCCTGATTTTACAGCAGATAATGTTTCTGTTGTTATCGTTCTATCCTCTGTACACGGGAATTGTAATGTTTAAATCATCTTTCTGGAGAAGTTTCAACACTAAT